GCAGACAAAGTGTATATGTACTACTCGTATTGCAAGACCTCGCTCCTTTATAAAATTAATATTTATTTTAAAATTTTGCTCGTCTTGCAAAACACTCGCAGACCAAGTTACTCACAATCCAAGGTTTTACTGTAACACATAACTGGTAGATAAGTAAGCGTACTGTTAGGCTTACCAGCATTCGACCTCATCATATTACAGCTACTGGACCGGTAGTTACCCCTGTACAGTTTAAGCACTGGTAGATTGTGCACTGTGTAGACAATAGCGGCACTACGGTAACGCCATTGCCTCCTGGAAACAAAGCCATTGGAAGTTTGAAACAAAGCTCATGGTTGCGACTGTATAGTACTCAGCCAATAGCAGCGGCCTAAGAGACTCAGCAATTATGATTCCGCGTCTGGTAGACGCTTGTTAAGGCCCTTCCCATTGTGCAATCCATAGCCTCAGCTGAATCTTTCGCACCCCCCTACAGCCACTTAAAGTATTACGGTAAACAAAGTGCATCCACTTCAAACATTGTTTTTTCATTGTACAAACAATTCGCATAATTTTAAACGTGATAACATGTGCAATTTTAGTGTTCGTGGTTTATTCAGCAGTGCTTTAGTCAAAGGTAAGTGTTGCATAGTGGAAAGTCCTACCATGAAAGAATTAAACGAGTTATGACATTTCACACGTGTAAAATATTTTTGGGATAGCCCGCCCCTCCATATACCCCGCAGGGTCTTATTTTGTTTGTAAAAAGAGGTATACCCCGCGGGTTATATGCGGGAAAATACAGTACATGCGTTTTGTCTAAACTGTCTTTACATTCAGAAATGTACAAGTGTTTTTAAGTTACTGTATCAAGACACGAAAGAATGTACATAGAAACAATATTCTGGTGTGTTGATCCTGCCACATTTTCACTCTATAAAATTACATAGTGTCACAAAGGGCATACGAGGACAAGTGCTTTGACTCAGAGAGGGCTTGTGTAGGTCACCATGAGAAGCCCATTGATGGTCGAGTTCAATTTCCACATCTTTCTAATTGATGACTTAGCACCAGGGCAATGTATTTTTAGCCTCTATCGACATAGATTAAAAACGAAAACATCTACAAATGGTCCATAATCGAGGTTTTTTGGGTTAGGCCGCGTAAATATATAAATGTGTCGTTAAAACCCGCCACCAGCCGACAGCCAACTAGTAAGGGTTGTCACGTAAACAAAACAATCCAATTCGTCACTCGTACAGCACACGGGTGTGTTGGAGAGCCAAGCCGCAACATTCACAATCTGAGTACAACGTTTCACCAGTAATTACAACTAGCTTCATCAGGCGACAGCCAGATTTATGGAGAAGTCTAACTGTTTGAGCGTCTTGATAAGAGCAGAAATCTGCACTTATCAAGCTAAGTGTCAGATGGTGACAGTATTAGAAGTTAAATTCAACATGTTGAAGAAGCACTGCAAATGAATGGTTACAATGATGCACAAATCAACAAATAACACGAGGATTGAAACTGCCCAAGTAATTAAAAGGATAAAAATACCATACATTGCGGAAGTACCGTAACTGATAAACTAGCCAGATGTTTGGAAAAACAACATCCGAGTCCGATTTGGGATGGTACATAAAATACATAAATTAATATCTGGTACAAAAGATGTATTACCGAAGCTATCGACAGAAGGTGTGTACAAGATTAACTGCACGTCTGGTAATTGTTATGTTGGGCAAACAGGACGAATGATCAGCACGAGACTAAAAGAACATCAGAGAAATATTAAATTCTCCCAAATACAACTGTCAGCAGGAGCAGAACACACGCGCCAAAAAGGACACTCAATTGATTTGGATAATGTTGAAGTTCTGTGCAAAACTAGCTACGACTGGCCAAGATTAATTAGAGAATCTATCGAAATTGAAAAAAATTCAAATATTGACGTTTCGATCGCAACACAAGCAATCGTCATCAGGTAGAAAGATTTAGCTGTAGAACTGCAGTTCTGCAGCCGTCATCAGGTAGAAAGATACAGCCGTAGAACTGCAGTTCTACGGCTGTATCTTTTTACCTGATGACGATTGCTTGTGTTGCGATCGAAAAGTCGTTATTTTTTTATTTATTTTGTTTACCTACGTTACTTTACCGAAAGAACCAAAGAGTATGGATTCCTGCAGTTATGAAAGATTCAAATCAAGATTGAAATAAAAATAACTTTAACTGGTCGGATAGCTACCGCCTTAGTGCTGCATGGAAGCTAATAATCAATTAATACATTATTTAAATGCATACCTATAAAGGGACGCATACTTCAATACGGATTACCATTGGTACGGCTATTTTAATACACATGTAGTGGTCGACTTGACTTGTTTTCTCCGACACCACTTTTATTACAACTCTTCACATTACGTCCGTGACTCCGTCATTCCGCTTAGCCGCAGCTCGCTCGCTGCGCTCTGCCCGTCTCGCTGACTCCGCTTTCTCCCCTATCTCTCACTGTCCCTCTGCGTCGTCTCTGTCTCTCTCCTTCACTCGATGTCTCTGTCTCTCCCTGTATCTCTGTCTCTCTCCCGCTGTCTCTGTCTCTCTCTGTCTCACGCTGTATCTGTCTCTCTCCCGCTGTCTCTGTCTCCCTGTCTGTCTCACGCTGTATCTGTCTCTCTCTGTCTCACGCTGTATCTCTGTCTCTCTCCCGCTGTCTCTGTCTCTCTCTGTCTCTGTCTCACGCTGTATCTCTGTCTCTCCCCCGCTGTTTCTGTCTCTCTCTGTCTCTGTCTCACGCTGTACCTCTGTCTCTCCCGCTGTCTCTGTCTCTCTGTCTCACGCTGTATCTCTGTCTCTCTCCCGCTGTCTCTGTCTCTCTCTGTCTCTGCTTGTCTCGGCTTGTCTCGGCTTGTCTCCGCTTCTCTCTGCTTCTGTCTCGCTCTGCTTGTCTCTGCTTCTCTCTGCTTGTCTCTGCTTGTCTGTCTCTCTCTGCCTGTCTCTGCTCTACTGCTAGCCTGTTCTGTCTCCTATGTCTTCGCTTCGGTTCTCCCCAACCTGCTTCGTTCCAGTCCCAGCGACAACTCAACTCGTTCTTCCCGTCTCCCGAATATATCCCCGTTCTCATTACCAACCAATGAATTAGGTCGCTTGCCACCGACGCCCCGCGTCCCCCCACACCTGTTACTTGCCCCCTCTATTCTCAGACATTCCGGCGTCACTCCGCCCTTGACAACAACCCCAGCCAATCACAGCCGTACATCGCTGTCCAGCTTAATTGGCCCATCATTACTGCAGTTTCCCGCCGCCACACCTGGCTGGCCCAACGTAATCCCACTCTCCATAACTTGCGCATCTTTACCATTCCCCCCTGTATGCGTGTGGTAATCCACTACACGCATGTAGTGAGTCCAACTGAGTCGCAGACGTTGTTCTTTGGAGGCAACACTTTTATTATAACATCAACACCTAACACAAAGGGGTAACTGCCCCTTCACCAGATACAGTCTAGGGTGGTGACCACCCAACTAACTACGCTATACTGAGGAGTTACAGCTACGAAGGGTCGGGCCCTCTCACTCAGGTCCTCGACCACGTGTTGATGTCTTGCAGGACGTAGAGCTTCAGCTTGTGGACGTGGAGCTTCAGCTTGTAGGATGCAGCGACCCCAGTCCCTCTCAGGGACCCATCTTATATCCCCCCATGAGTTGGGGCTGCTCCGCCCTCGGTCCCGCCCGCCTTCTGGAGCCTTCTAGCTCCCTCTCGATCCCTCTCGAGAGCTCTCCCCGGACAAGTGATTACCCCCTAGTCCCCCCACCTGGGGGCCTCTCTGTGGACACTCCAAATCATGTGTCTGCGGGGTCAACCAGAGTGCCATGGCCCGGGGAAACCCTGCCCCTGGGCTGACACTCTCCTACTCCCCCCTCAGGAAGCCCGCACTACACACTATGCGTGGTGCCCGCGCTATCCCAGCGCATGCCAAGCCCCGCTTGGGCTGGTACTACACCTGCCTACGGGGTGTACGCAATGACAGTGCATTGTGTGCCGTGGCCCTCTCAATCCGGCACCATGCAGTGACATCCCCGATGTCACTACACACACAATAGGCAGGAAGGACAAGTTCAAAGGGCTCGCATAATGCATAATGTATGTTGTCTCAGTGATCCCGCCCACCGTGGGGGGGGGGGGCAGGATCACGCCTCTATATAAGGAAGGAAACAGGTGGACTTCTCCACAAATCTGGCTGTTGCCTGATGAAGCTAGCTGTAATCACTGGCGAAACGTCGTACTCAGATTGTAAATGTTGTGACTTGGCTCTCCAACACACCGGTGTGCTGTACTAGTGACGAATTGGCATGTTCTGTTTCCATGACAACCCTTACTAGTTGGCTGTGTTTGGTGGTGGCAGGTTTTAACGACACATTTATATATTCACGCGATCTAACCCAAAAAACTCTATTATGGATGATATTGGTCGCGAAAGCCTACGTGTTAAATCTACAAATGGCTTTAACACTAAAAGCTCAGTCTGCCAATTTTAAGCACAGCAGTTGACCTTGACCCCTTCAGGAGTGATGAAATCATGTTAACTCTGCATGGGCTAGCTGTTGAGTGTGGCAAAGTGGTCATCATAATCGGAGAGGCTCGTGTTGCTTTTAATAGGGAATGCCCAGTAATGCTTCAAATGAGCATGAAGTCGTGATCATCTCCATTTGCTAGTGGTGGAAATTACAAATCCCCTGCTGAGGCAAGTCTCTCAACAGGGGAAACACTGCGAACACATGACTGGGATTGATCGTTTTTTTCACAACGCAGGTTTTACCCTTGTATGAGTTACGTTTTGTGTCATGTAACACAACTACGTTAACATCGGAAATGTACTTGTGGATAGTTTATAACAGCATAAGCCCTATAGTAATGACATTTGACCTTTAGCATTGCTGAGGCTTAATAGGAGTCTAAAGGCCCCATAAAATTAGGATGCCACCCATCAGCATGTCTACAGTAGTAATACACTACATGTGTTTCCATTTTTCAGCCAATTTTTTTTATTTGTAGAGACGGTCATAGGGTCACTATAGCATATGCGCCATCTAGGGTCACAAGCCGGAATTGGGTGTCTCTCAGCACCGGCGTAGGGAGGGCAGGGAAGTGGGCCCTCGAGGACGTGTTTCGTTGACGGGTAGAGAGAGGACACATGAGGACGTGACCATGGGGTGACGCCGAGAGGGCACGTGACTGGCACAGGATAGCAAAGGTGGCCCAAAAGGGGGCTTGAAGAACATGTGACACTGACCCCAGACCCTTCGGGAAAGATCCCGAGGGGGGCGTGGCTGGAAGCTGAGCGAGGCCACGCTCAGCAGGATAAGAGGGCTGGTCGGAGAACAATCGCGGCTCTATTGTGGCATCAACTTGAAAGCCCCCGCTCTTCGGTCTTTGATCGTCGCTTCGGTCTTCGGTGGTTGTCACGCTTGGCGGTTATCTAGTTACCCCGTTAAATGGATAAAGTGTGCGTTATGTAGTGGCCCTGTTGGGGTCTAGTTATCTATGTTCTATATTAGGGAGTTACCCTGATAGGGTCGTTAAATACACGTTGTGCTTCAGAATTCCCGTGTGTGCCTCCATAGATCACACTACATATTTACAAGGTCCATCCTATATCTTGAAACAAGGTCATCAGGAAGCTGGCTGTTTTGAATGGAATTTAGCCGAGCGTATAAGCGGCATGACTCCCAGTCTTGAAATCGTGAGCTCAAATCACAGCAGGGTCAACTCAGGTAATCAGGCACTGCTCATTTCATTGACCTCCAGGGTCATTAAAACATCTACTACCTGCTGAGCAGCACTGCGTGGGGAGTCAACAGTGGTTGTCCACTAAAGGGTGTTTGGTGCTCACCATAAGAACTTGATATTTCTACCAAAATGTCTTCAGATAAGTGATGGCTGCAGATGTCAAGCCCAGTGATCGCTCCACAAAGCCTCTCCCACAGATGCATGGGCACCATGGTGGTATGTTAACTACCTCACCTGGTATACAGGTCGTGGGTTTGATCCTGACCCCGACACTTGCATGTCCTCCGTTTTTTCCACATTTAGAATCATGCGTTTAGAATATTTGCCCGCTATAAATTTCCACATGATTGGCCACTTCATTGGGCTATCATTTGTGGCCAGGTCGCTTTTGAAAAAGAGCTATAGAGATCAGTCAGCCTTAACTGGTAAAATAAACATTTAAATAGTTTAAATGAAACATGACCCCTCCACAAGACCCCTCCATAACAACTTTCACCAACATCGAGTTCTAACAATTTATATTTATTTCAAAAAAAGTAAAATGCTTTTTATTTCACCAGGTAAAAGCTAATAAAGGTTTACTGTGTATTTTACTGAGTAAACTGTAGTTTAGTTGTAATTACATTTAAGAATTTGGGATACAATAATGGCACATAATGGCTTGTACTTGCACATAATGCGCCTGGGTTCTCAATGTTTACTTCACAGCACAGAGTGGCTCATGCTTCCTCACAAAATTATTGGGCAGCGACAGGAATCCAACTGCCGAGTTTATGCAAATGTTGCCGCTTACCACCAGGGAATGGAAATCACAGATAATATTCCATGTGAAATCAACACGTGTCTCGTATTGAATTGATAAAAAAAAATTCAGTTTACAGCATAAACACATTTATATATTTAAAAAAAATAGTTTTGAGTCCTATCATTTGACAAAATTTGATTTAGAAAATAGCAAAAAAAATGTGTGGCCATTAACTCACACTTACACATTTGTAACTTTTAACCTGTTGTATCTAGACAACCAAAGAGTAAGTTGAAAGCACGTGAAAAGTTTTTTTTATGTTATATATCTGAGTTAATTTTATGTGCAAATGTTGTTGTAATTTTGGTACAAAAAAGTTAGCTATTATATACACCCACATCTTTTCAAAAGATTACTATGCAACCGAAGGTGTTGCCATGGTCTAATGTCCACAATTAAATAATTATGAGCAGTTTTAGCGTGGCTAATACAGTAAAACTATACACACACTTGGTAGTATAAAGATTTGACTGTACAAGTTTCGTCCATCTAGACCTACACAGGTCCATAATGACCGACGAAAGCATTTAATCAAGATTCGAGAGAGTCCCAGATGTTCAATAACAACTTGGGTAAAGACTGTTTAACATATTTCCATTACGTCCTGGTAAACAACACCGGGCGAAAATTATTATCCTGAGTAGAGAAATAACCATGAGTAGGTCATTAATACAATTTAATTAATAGTTTTGAGCATCAGTCATGGAAGACTGAAGTAATGTGGTTCAAGTGTTGAAGTAAAAGTAATATGTACAAAAACCAAAACCAATGGCAGCTTCGTGATTTCAAGATCACCAAGATTTCCATCTGATTTTACTCTTCAGGGATCAACCTCGATGTCTGGGCAATGTCTTCTGGTGATCTGGCGGTATATTAATTGAAAACGTATTAAATACATTGTTCTTAAGTTTCTAACATAATCAAAATATGATAAAGTCTACTTTCTCAAAAGTAGGGATTACCCTGAATCCAGCTTCTTGGAACACCCTCCCTCTGGATATTGTCACTGCTGGCTGTCTCCCCCTATCCAAGTCCAATTCAATGCTTTCCTTATATCCTCCAGCTCAGAATGGTTTCCTTTCTACCGTGACTTTAATCCTATTTTACACCTTTGTACTTTATGGTTCCAACTTTAACTCTGCGAATAATATTCCCAAGTAAAAAAAACCCCTGCCACTGATTTATTACAAAACCTGATCACTATCCCCATCGTGTTGTATAAATACAAAAATGATATTTGAGATGGGTAAGAAATTCGAGTGGATTGGTGATGCAATCCAATGTCTGTATAATCTGATTGTCTTATCTAATTATGAAGAATTATCTGATCAAAGACAAGGCTAAGATATTATCATGGCAAATGCTAAGATTTTGACAGAGGTCACAGAAATCTTGAAATGTAATAACATCAGTGACATCTTGGAAATGGTTATAGGAAGACGAGATTACACACTTAGTTTTTTCATTAAAAATATCCCATAAGGCATGCACTAAAAACTTTAATTTATTTTCAGCACATGACGTGGGGCGGTGCCAGCGCTGTGGCAGCATGGGAAGGGGGAAGAGGCATGGGGCTGCCCCGATGCAAACCGGTTGCCCCATATCTGGATAAAAAAAAAAGTATATTTAATCTGAAATTGATTCAAATTTCATTTTTTTTTACTTTCTTAATAAAAACAATATTTGAATACAAAATTAAAATAAATATATTTATTTATACACTTTGGCTTTCTTGGCCAAAGTGTATAGGGACTGTTATAAGATATGATAACTGTATTACCATCTGTGAGAGACATTGTGTTGAGATTTTGTATGAAAATGTTTGTTTTTAATGTATCCTCTATCAATTTAGTGAGTATCTATAAATGGATCAGGCTACATATCTAACATAGACCACACTATACACAGGTGTGATGTTGAACGTATTGGCTGTCCCTTTGCCCACGTCCGCGTGATCCACCTGCCATGCGGATATGCTCACCTGCGGCGCTGTCTGCGTGGACAGAGCAGCGCCGCTCCCTTCATCGCCAGGGCACCGACAGGGTCCCAGTCGCTGTAGTGGGTGAGGAGAGCAGTCCCAGAAAACGACAGGAAAATCGGCATGGCGCCCAGAAAAAAGAGCCAGGAGAAACTCGCCTGAAATCACATTTAAAGACAGCAGCACATCAGGCTGAGAGCGTGCATGGCCACCAACACGCAACCATAAAGTTTCCCGTTGAACCCATACACACACTGTATGTGTACATGATCTTTATAACCAGGCAATAATCCATCAAGACCTGGGCTTGCAGTTAGCAAGAAAATATAATCACTGATATGACGAGTACCAATGTACATCCATATGCCTTCTTATACCCAGTGCTGATGCACCAAATTTGGCACTCATTTCTGGATAAACTGATCTATGAGAGGGCCAGACTGGGTTTAGATACAACTTGCTGATGGTGTGCATGGTCTGACACTCAATCTAGTTCCCCTGGATCGTTGCTTTGACCAATACTCCCATTATCTGTCTTGCATACACACACAGTACTTAACATTGTGTAAAAACCTTTTATTTTCTGGATGTGATTAAACATAACTTTTACGATTCAAGGTTACAATTCGCAAATAAATTATTGTTAGCCTTTGGATGCAAGGGAAAAAAGTTAAGGAATCAATTCTTACGTGTGATTCACCCAGCCAGATGATTATCAGGTGTCACAGTCGTAAGATGTTAACTCCCTCGCCTAGGATGCAGGAGTTTATGGGTTCGATCCTGACCCCGACGCCTGTATATTTGGAGTTTGCATGTTCTCCCCGTGGTCATGTGGATTTGTCATCGGGTCCTCCGTTTTTACCCTCCACGTTTAAAAACGTGCGTATAAGGTTGCTAAAAAATTCAATAAAAGCCACTTAATTGAGCTATTGTGGCTAGGTCGCTTCTGAAAAAAATGTTATATAGCTCAGTGGTCCTTACCTGGTACAATAAAAAAAAAGTTTATAGTTTATCTGAATGTAAAGATTGACTTTAATCTATTAACCGTACCTTCTGAGTGAAGATGTCTGCGACGATGGAGAGTGGGATGGTGAGGCTCAGGGCAAGGGTGCCCATGAGGGATGTGGTCAGAAAGCAGCCCCTGCCAGAGCAGCCACCACCACGCAGTGTCAGTCAGAGGGTTTCACAGGCTAATACCAACACACATTCTCATGCATTTGCAAGTTAAAGCGTGAAAGTTAAAGGTGCAGCCATGAAACTACTTTCCCATGCCATTGCTCCCCAGAAGGGGGACGGTAATTGGCCTACTTTTTCACGATGGCCAGATGTCTTTGAAGAGGTGGAGGAATTCACACTGCATCTCACCACTTACAACCAGCTGAATGACTGATGTACCAATTTATACTGCTGCGTGGGCAGCGGCAATGGGATTTAAGACAATTGCCCCAGTGTTTCAATAGCTATGTCAGGAGAAATGGCGACCTCTGGATTGCAAGTCCAGAGTGCTATTACATCATGGGAGCATCTTGCAGGCTAAACAGAACCATACATCCAAATATTGAAAATGTAATATTAGATGTTCCTTAAAATAATTTCCTGTTTTGACTTAAACCAGACTGCATGCAACCTGAAAAGCAGCTAACCCACTCGTATGATATTGAATGTATTCATAAAACTAATTTCTTTCAAATAGCTTTTTGTGTTTAGTTTGTTGACCTGTGCCTGCACCTCCCGATTAGCATGGTTGGGTATATATGGTGCAAAAGAAGTTAAACTTCCGTACATACATAATTCATGTATCAATGACATTCCATACGATTGAATTTACAGGAACATCAAGGCTGACCAAAACTTTTAAATTTTCAAAAAATATTCAAGCTAGGTACTAAAAATTCACCAACGTTAAAAAGTAATACCAACATACGGCAACTGAGATTAACTTGTCACCATATTTTTACATTTAATGAAGTTTGCACCAGTGAAAGCTTACTAATTATATTTTTTCCAGTAAAGCATGAGTGTGGGAAGGTGGTAATAAGGCATGAATTGGGAGGCAAGTACAGTGAGGGAAAAAAGTATTTGATCCCCTGCTGATTTTGTACGTTTGCCCACTGACAAAGAAATGATCAGTCTATAATTTTAATGGTAGGTTTATTTGAACAGTGAGAGACAGAATAACAACAACAAAATCCGGAAAAACGCATGTCAAAAATTTTATAAATTGATTTGCATTTTAATGAGCGAAATAAGTATTTGACCCCTCTGCAAAACATGACTTAGTACTTGGTGGCAAAACCCTTGTTGGCAATCACAGAGGTCAGACGTTTCTTGTAGTTGGCCACCAGGTTTGCACACATCTCAGGAGAGATTTTGTCCCACTCGTCTTTGCAGATCTTCTCCAAGTCATTTTGGTTTCGAGGCTGACGTTTAGCAACTCGAACCTTCAGCTCCCTCCACAGATTTTCTATGGGATTAAGGTCTGGAGACTGGCTAGGCCACTCCAGGACCGTAATGTGCTTCTTCTTGAGCTACTCCTTTGTTGCCTTGGCCGTGTGTTTTGGGTCATTGTCATGCTGGAATACCCATCCACGACCCATTTTCAATGCCCTGGCTGAGGGAAGGAGGTTCTCACCCAAGATTTGACGGTACATGGCCCCGTCCATCGATCCTTTGATGCGGTGAAGTTGTCCTATCCCCTTAGCAGAAAAACACCCCCAAAGCATGTTTCCACCTCCATGTTTGACGGTGGGGATGGTGTTCTTGGGGTCATAGGCAGCATTCCTCCTCCTCCAAACACGGCGAGTTGAGTTGATGCCAAAGAGTTCCATTTTGGTCTCATCTGACCACAACACTTTCACCCACTTGTCCTCTGAATCATTCAGATGTTCATTGGCAAACTTAAGACGGGCATGTATATGTGCTTTCTTGAGCAGGAGGACCTTGCGGGCGCTGCAGGATTTCAGTTCTTCACGGCGTAGTGTGTTACCAATTGTTTTCTTGGTGACTATGGTCCCAGCTGCCTTGAGATCATTAACACGATCCTCCCGTGTAGTTCTGAGCTGATTCCTCACCGTTCTCATGATCATTGCAACTCCACGAGGTGAGATCTTGCATGGAGCCCCAGGCCGAGGGAGATTGACAGTTCTTTTGTGTTTCTTCCATTTGCGAATAATCGCACCAACTGTTGTCACCTTCTCACCAAGCTGCTTGGCAATGGTCTTGTAGCCCATTCCAGCCTTGTGTAGGTCTACAATCTTGTCCCTGACATCCTTGGAGAGCTCTTTGGTCTTGGCCATGGTGGAGAGTTTGAAATCTGATTGATGGATTGCTTCTGTGGACAGGTGTCTTTTATACAGGTAACAAGCTGAGATTAGGAGCACTCCCTTTAAGAGTGTGCTCCTAATCTCAGCTCGTTACCTGTATAAAAGACACCTGGGAGCCAGAAATCTTTCTGATTGAGAGGGTGTCAAATATTTATTTCCCTCATTAAAATGCAAATCAATTTATAACATTTTTGACATGCGTTTTTCTGGATGTTTTTGTTGTTATTCTGTCTCTCACTGTTCAAATAAACCTACCATTGAAAATTATAGACTGATCATTTCTTTGTCAGTGGGCAAACGTACAAAATCAGCAGGGGATCAAATACTTTTTTCACTCACTGTATGGCCATTAAATGAAAGGTCTGACTGCAGAAAAATCTAATGATTCTAAAGTAAACGCATAAGAGTGGAAGTCTCTCAGCAAGGAAACCAATGTTGATACCCCTATAAATGATACTCATTTCACAAAATCATAAGGAAAGGTGAACTGAATCAAACTTGGTCCTGACTTTACACAATAACTGATACATTATTGACTGAGCAATCCTGAACATTTTCATAACTTGTGTACCTCACACCAAGGGCATAAGGGTCATGGGCGATTATGGGATTTCAAACGTGTGTAGGGGACTGTACAAGAGGTTCTGGAAGGGTGAGTTGAGATGGTTGAAAACAGGTGGCTGGAAGGCGCTGTAAGCACACGTGTTATAATTAAGTGGGGGGGGCACTGTCTGATAGGGCGTGGCCAAGGGAGTATATATGGGGGAGTGAGGGCCGCGGTCAGGGCGCTTGCTCGGGGAATAATCGACTACCAGAGGTGGATGACATCAGGGCCGACTGTTCGGGATCGACAAGGTGGAAACCATCGGAGTTGACTGTTCCAGACTCAACTTAGTAGAAACCACCGGGGCTGAAGATAGCCATAGCAATTACGAGTGTGGCAGTCGTTACACTGCAGACTGTTCATAATTAAGGTTTTTGGGTTAGATTGTGTAAGTATAAATGTGTCGTAACCCTCCACCACCCGACACAGCCAATTAGTAAGGAATTTGTCACGTAAACAAAATGCCAATTAGTTACTACTTCAGCTCACCGGTGTGTTGAAGAGTAAATCCACAATATTTACAATGTGAGTACAACGCTTTGTTGGTAAATCATCGGGCGATATTCTGGAAAATCATTGGGTGATTTGCCAAAACACTATTCTGGCAAATTGACGGATGATGCTGGATGTAATTACCAGCGAATCAGCATTTGGTTTTGGCATCGTTTCAGTATGATAGCAATTCCAGCTGTTAGAAAGCAGTAGTCTTCTAATAAAAAAAAACATAATACAGATGGACATGGTGGTACATGCCTATCCTACAAAGCTTGGGAGGTGGTTTGGTGTGCAAAACAGCCGTGATGGACTAGCAGTGTGGAGAATAATGATCATTTTGTGGTCCCATAAAAACGATATTTCCTGAATCCACACCTGCTATGTATGCTATCCTCAAGAGGTTGTAACTATAAACATAATTTACTTTAAATGAAATGCATCACAGTATGATAAACGATTGGTTCAATAACTGGAAACGACCACAAAGATAATCTATACGTTTTGCATATTGGCAACTGTGTGAAATGTATTTGAATGGTGTCATCTGCTTCACACTTTATGATGATGCACAGTTTTTAAGTTGGTATTGATTGTGATAATCACATTTTTTCAAATTAGTAAAAAATTTCACGAATCTATATCACTGATTCAATTTTGATGTAAACACCCTGATGTGGTCATTTTGAAACGATCCCACTGTGTGGTGCAGTGGCCAGAGCAAGTGGTTTGCAATAGGAAGGTTACAAGTGTAGTGACATTGGGGATGTCACTCTGTGGTGCCGGCCCGGGAGGGCCGTGGCGTGCGATGTACTTTCGTCGCGGACAGCACCGTGTGTGTTGCTGAGTGAGACCGGCTCTAGCAGAGCACGGCGTGCGATGCACCGTCATCGCGTACACCCCGTAGGTGGGTGTAGTACCAGCCCTAGCGGGGCTTGGTGAGCGCTGGGATAGTGCGGGCACCACGCATGGCGTGCAGTCCGGGCTCCCACAAGGGGGAGCGGGAGAGTGTCAGCCCAGGGACAGGGTTGTTCTGGGCCATGGCACTCTGGTTGACCCTGTAGGCACGTGATCCAGAGTGTCCACAGAGAGACCCCCAGGTGGGGGGGGCTAGGGGGTGATCACGTGTCCGGGGAGAGCTCTCGAGAGGGATCGAGAGGGAGCTAGAACGCTCGCGAAGGTGGGCGGGGCCGAGGGCGGAGCCGGCCCCGACACGGGAGGATATAAGGTGGGTCCCTGAGAGGGACTGGGGTCGCTTCGTTCTACTAGCTGGAAGCTCCACATCCTACATATGAAGAGGCACCAATACGTGGTCGGGACCCGAGTGAGGGTCCGGTTCATCGTAGCTGTAACTCCTGTGTGTATTGCAGTTAGCCGGGTGGTCACCACCCGAGGCTGTATCTGGTAAAGGGGCAGTAACCCCATTGCTATATACGTGTTGTGAATAAATGTGTTGCCTCTGAAGAACAACGTCTGTAGTTCAGTTGGTGTCGGAAGAGGCCAACACGCTTGTTTATATAGCTAGCGGTAGATTATGTCTACACGTCGCAGACCACGTACCAGGACGTCGGACAGCGAGGAAGAGGACCTCATGCCGCCTACACTCCGGAGGATGTGAGGGAGACGCTGCCAGTGGAGCAGAGCGCCGTCCGGGTGCACGACGCCTCGCCATCGGCGGAGGCGATCCTCTGGGAGGCGCACGGTCGCCTCCCGGAGCTCCTC